CGCCGCGCGCCGCGGGGGCGGGAGCCCCTGCCACTCGCTCCATCCGCCTGGCCCCCGGCCCCCGGCCGGAATAGGGGCAGGAGGCTCCGGGACGCCCCGCCGCCGCCGGGGGGCGGCGGGGGGATGCCCGGACCGGGAGGGCTCTGCGGCCGCCTTCGCCTCGCCTGGCCTCGCCGGGACTCCGCTGCCGGGCGCCGGCGCTCCCGCCTCCCTCCCCTCCATCATTCTGGGTAGACTTAGTGTTTGCAGGTCGTTGCTTGTGGTCGCTGTAAACCACAGTGTGTGCCCGAGTAGCATCGGTAAAAATAAACCACCCTATGCAGAAAACCGCCGTGTCGGGGATTTTCTTGGATTTACGAGGAGACGGCGGGGGGCTTAAAGTCCGACCTCGGTCTGGCGGTGTGAGTACGGAGGTTGAAGGCGACTCCCCAGGAGGAGGAAGGGGCTTTGGGCCCGTCGCTTCCCGGGCTGTGAAACCACCAAGTGGATTTTCTTGGGGGAAAAGCGACCGTGTTTTGTAACCTTGCAAGGTACTTCCAGCAACATCCCCGCCTGTGTTACGTGTGTCTAACAGCCCTCCTGCTATGCTAGGACCTTCCAGTTCATCGTCTTCCCTTCGTTACAGCGCGGGGAGGTGATGGGGCTTAAACCCCAACCATACGCCTCATTATATGGAGATATTTTTTTTAAAATGCCTTTGACCGAGGGTTTCCCACCAAGGAAAGGCTTCGCGCCGTGTGGCTGTCCCCGAGTTCACCGTGCACGCAGCGGCACAGGGAGTTTAAGGAGCCTGCGGAGTAGCGTTTCTTTCTTTCTTTTTTTTTTTTTTTTTTTTTTTTTTTGCGCTTGAAAGTTTCTCCGGAGACGTTGTGGGTGCTTCGGGGGCAGCCAGCTGCGGCACGTTTTGCTCGGGGGAAAAAAAAAAAACAACACCCCACAAACAACAACACAACGAACCAAACCGATCAACCAAAACATTGCCATGTGCTCCGCGGCAGGAGGGGAGGGGCCGAGAGCATCCGCCGGCGGCAGCCGCAGGTGGCGAAAGCGGCATCTCGGCGCAGGCTGGGCAGGGGCAGGCTCCAGCCACCCCCGGGCCAGCCCCGGCGGGGGTAAGCACGACCTTCCCCGCAAGCTTGAGAGCTACGGCCAGAAGCAGGCAGTGCCACCGCGATGCCAAGGGCAGGGAGAGCCAAGCCTGGCCTGGACGGTCCCCGTGGCGGCTCCGTAAGCCTCCCCCCCCGCAGAGGATCTCCCCTCTCCCGTCAATCCCAGCTGCTTGGCCCCAGGAAACCCGGGTGCTTCCCCTTCCCTGCCTGGCCCGGGGTTGGAGCCGGACAGCCTTGCCCGCCGCACAGCCCCTCCGCCCGCCCTGCCGCCCTGCCCCCTTCCCGCCGTGCCCCCGGCTAACGTGCCCCTGGCTCGCTGGCCCGCGGCGGCCGGGACCCGGGGCCGCTCTCGGGCCGGGAGGGGGATGGCGCCGAGCCGGGTACTGGCACTGGGCCGCCTGCCGCGTACCTCTGCGACGGGCTGCCTGAAATGAATGCTTGACCAAATATATATATATTTTTTCCTGTTTATTTTTGTGTAATCTGTGTAACGTAGGTAAAAGGGAATGTTAAATCTGTGCGTCACGTGAACGTCAGTGTCCAGTCATTTCTGAACTTCAACCGCTTACATTAAATGACAATAGTGCTTTTAACAACCTCGGATACATAGCTGATTTTCTGAAAATCTTATTTGACCTCATTTTCGCAATTAAAGTGATCTTTGATCTTATGTCCTCTTTGATCACTCCTAACCACGTGTGTCCTAGATACTCTTTAAGTGCCGGAGCGTCAGAAGAGTCAGCCTGCAGCGATTAGGGAGCCGAAACTCCTCCTGAGTGCTCGGATCTCCTGTGAC